GGTCTGCAGAATCCATCAGGTCAGCAGCTTTCTCTACACAGGTCAACCTGCAGAAGTCAAGGACAAAGTAACTTTAATATCAGGATAGGTGGGTTATCTATTGTGGGGAAGTCAGAGTTATCATGATACCAACATTTGAAATGTTGATAAGATTCTCGTAAAAATTAAATAATGGCTGTTTCAATACCACAGCAACAAAAATGAGTTTCTTAGCCCCCAAAACTGGGTGGCTTTATCTTTAATTTCAAACCTGCATCAACATTAACATCAAATTCATTACTAAATTGTCTCTTTTTCATTTCAAACTATAATAATAATAATGAGGTTGATGAAAGACAGATTGTTGTGAGTTTTGGATTTTTCTGTTTTTAACGATATCTGAATTTTAAACTTCAATACAATTCTAGTGAAAAATTTAACAATATTCCACATCGGTACCCTAGTGGTTAGTGCGTACGGCCCATGTACGGAGGCTATAGTCCTCCAAGCGGACAGCCTGGGTTAGAATCCGACCTGAGGCTCCTTACTCCCCCATGTCACTCCCCACTCTCTCTCTCCCTCCCTGATTTCTGACTCTATTCACTGACCTATCTCTAAAGATATAAAGGCATGAAAAGCCCAAAATTAAACATCAAAAAAAAGTATCAATAGTGATACCTGTTTCATTACCATGGCAACAAAAACACAAGTCCAAGGCAAACTCCTGAACACAGTCTACGATGCATAAATACATTGGAAACGTTATTTTGTGCAGTGTAGAAAGTCTTCTTTTTTTTCAGCTCGCGGAAGCTTTTGGTTAAAAATAGGCCTGAAGATCTGAAGTTGGGTTCTTTAACTATCGATCATTAAAATAAAATAAATTGAATCATTTTACAACCTGTGGAATCAAAGTATCACATCATCCTTAAAGCACATTAAGTTTATAATGTCAGTGTTTAAAAAAGAAGGAGTCTGTGATCCAGCTGAAGCAGAAGAAAGAATTCTCTCCAGTTTGAATACTCTGCTAACCTCTCAGGTCAAAGTAGTAACTTTACTTCTCATGCTCTGTTGCCTTCAAACACACAGAATTTACCTTTCCAGTACTTCCTGTTCAGGGGAGAGCTCTTCCTGATGTGGGGCGGCTGTCTCTGGGATGACGGTCCACTCTGGCTCCTGTTTGGTCTCCACGGTGTTGCCCCTGACAACAGCCTGGGAGATGGGAGAGTCACATCGTAACTGTGCAGATAAGAGAGGGAGGGAAAGATGGAGCGAGCGGTGAGCCTATCCAATTACTGAGGATTAGCACCCTGCAGCTGCTGCTGTGTCTTCTACAGGTCACTCCCAGCCACAGAGACTGCTGAGCTTTTATCTGACCCGCACACACTTCAGGAAATGCATTTTACACTTTGTTAACATGTCTCTTAAAAGGAACACAATTCAAAGCTGCATATGCAACAAGTACAATGTAAAGAAAACATGAAGAACTGGATGAAAATGCACTATTTCTAAAAACAATCCACAAAAATCTGCAGGTTGTCTTTTCAAATCAACGTTGCAAACCCTTTAAAACAAATGTTTCAGTTCCGCCATCTGTGTCTCTGCTGCTAAAGTTAAATATCAGGAATGTGTGATTGAGGTGGCTTAGTTTCCTCCTCCCACTCCCTCATTATTTGATTACATAATTCAGTGACATTATGTTTTGAGTTTGTACACAGTTTTGTTTTGCCTCTGTCTGTATCATTTGACTTGACTACTCTAATATTCTTGCTCCACATTTAAACATTTTTGTTGACGTTACATTTTCATATATTGGTAAGTATTTCTTTTTACACTAAATTTAAGTTTTTTATTCTACTCACAACCTTTTATTTTTTATTATTTTATTTCTGTGTTGATGTATTTAATATCCATGCTCTCTTTTCGAATTAAAATGTTATGGAATGAAACTAAAACCTCCTCGAGTCCTTTACATTTTTAACCCATCAAAAACCGTACAAATTACTTCTTTTTTTCAAAGTTTTTTTGGGGGGCTTTTTATGCCTTTAATACAGCGACAGGACAGATAGAATCAGAAATTGGGAGAAAGGGAATGCCTTGCGGGAAAGGAGCCACAGGTCGGATTCGAACCCGGGGCGCACGCTTTGAGGACCCAGCCTCCATTCATGGGGCACATGCTCTAACAACTAGGGTACCGGCGCCCCGAAATAAAAAACTTTTGAGACCATGTGGGATATTTTCTCTAATAATCCAGCATTACAGCTACCAGAGTTATCAATATATTTCAGATATCAGAAAATGTTCTCTTTGTTACTCAGAAACTGCCTTAATGACTGACTTTTGGTTAGAAAAGTACAACAAAAAAATAATAATTTCCTAATCGTTTATTGACAAAGATAAAAGGTATTTTATGGGGCTGTCGTGAAAGGTGGATTCTTTTGTCTAAACATTTGTCATATTTTCAGGTTACATAATTTACATATTAAGCAATACTACAGGTCTGTTGGGAGATTTGTCCTTTAACTCTGTGAAGTCCACCGACCTCTCAGTCAAGATCAAAATAATGATTATGAATGCTTGTACTAGTTACACATCCAAAGGCAGAAAGACAGACTACACTCATATTTTTCAAAGGGTGCATGCATATAAAACAGGATAGTCCTATATTAACAGATGGGTCGTCAGTTTGGACTAAAAGAAGCAAACTGAATCATGTCATAAAAAACTAAAACAAAAACTATTAAAGACTGCCTGACAGGCCCAACATAACCTACTGTTAAATAAGGCCGCCTGTGGAGGATCACGTGCACAGAAAACCACAAAAAAAGTTCAATACAAAAACTTATAATGCAATGTTAACTAAAGAATAAAGAGAATTAAAGACTCATTATAAAAGATGCATGGAGTTAAAACTGTTTTTAAATCATAGTGAGTTCTTTATCTAATTAACTAAATAACTAACATAACTTTCAAAACACAAAAAGTAACTTTTAGATGCAAGATCAAGCTTAAATTGTGCTATTAGAAATAGTTGATAAACCAAGACAAAGAAATAAATTCAGTGCATAAAGCGTGCGTTCTCCTGATACCTGTATATGAGCCTGTGTCGGCTGATGTCTTCCTGTGATGTGCAGGAGACGAGCTGTCAGCTGCTGCTCTTTGGCTTTAAGTGCAGGTTTCAGATTCTTCCCAGACGCAGAGCTTTTACTTTGCCTGAGGTCATCTTTGTTCTCAGCTGGGACCTCCTGAGCTCGGACCTGGAGGACATCCCTACAGGGCTGCACCGACACACCGACGCCCATGGGTGAGAGGTCTTGTTGTGGGCTGTCAGCGTGTTGTTCCTGCGGGGGATTGTTGCTCCGCTGTGTGTCGGCCGACGTGCCAGTCGCTCTCAGCGGGGTGTTACCCCAGAGCTGCCGTCCCCTGCTGAGTTAAGAAATGTTCATCGAGGGGGGGGAAGTCGGGGCCGGTCAGTTAGAACCACTCAGTACAAGAGGAACCTCATTAAGAATAATAGACTTGAAGGATTACAGAGTGACAAACGTTTATAGAGAGGCTGTCTGCTTCTATAAGACCGTGCAGTACGATGACTCAACATTTAGAGTAGCGATGAATCTTTGTATAATTTCAGGGTTTATTCTGTTCTGTTTTATTCCAATTTGAAATTAGCTGCTCAAACGGAAATCTGATCTTCTTTGTTGTGTGCAGCCTAACTCTAAGGGGGTTAGGCTTAGTCCAAATATATAAAACCTGAAGCATTTTTATCTCAATTTGAAATTCAACTTCAATTGATCTTACAAATAAGAGGTGAAATGCATGTTTACATGTATCTTAATGAAGTAGCTTAATAAGCTTATTACCTCAGGGACTCAAAACAATACCTAAATCCAAAGTCACAATTTAAAGTAGCTAATAAAAAAGTTTGAGGTGTGGAGAGGCAGTCTAAAGTGAAAGTCCGAGGCACTCTGATGTCGTATAAAAATCAATTTCAACATAAATCCCACCTCTGGCAATGCAATTAAACAATAATAGTCAAGGATTTTTGGGTGGCCAATAATATTTCAATGACTACAAGGCCCTAACGGTGAAATCCACAGCACTGAAACTTGATTCACAGTCACAGATTATATCTCGAAAAAAAATGAAAAAGGCTTTCAACTAAAAATGTTACACTAACTCCTTTTTTACAATGTAATGATGATCCTCATTAAACAGTTTTATTCTGGCTGGGTAAAGGACATGTTTTGACTTGTTGATCCAAAGAATAACTTGCAGTGCAGAAAATGTTTTTTTCAGAAAGCTGCAGACTTTCAATGCATACAAATCAAAATCATACAGTTGTATATGAAAGAATTGTATGCAACATCTCATAGTGCTTGTCTGTAGCAGGATCTTACTGGTCAGATTGGAGCATTGTGTCACTGGGTTGTGTCTCCTGCACTTCCTCTGACTCCCTCAGTGGGTCTGTTGTTAGGGACGATTCTCCTGGTGTTAGCGTGTCACACAGCTCCTGCAGGGATTCAGCTCGTTCCTCCACAGATGCGTCTTCATCTGTGACGGCCTGAGAGGAAACATGAACTCCTGAGTCACTGAACTCAAACTTCATTTTTTTATCTTGCTACTATAATAACAGAGTCACACAACACTTTCAAATGTTAACGTGAATCATACAGAGTTAGGGCAAATACCTGTCGCTGTTGCAGCACAGAGCCACGGTCAGTCTGGTCAGTCGCTTCATGCAGATTGTTAGTTTGCGTTTCACATTGCACAACAGAAAATGAATGCTCTCCCGCTCTGATGTGAGACCGCAAGACGGGAACAAAAGCAGCAATTTCTCTGCGTACATCCTGAGAGCGACACAAACAAGCAGACACTTATATTTAAGTGGTGCCAGGTAATCATGCATGATTCATCATGTATCATAACGGAACCCCTGAAATAATCTCATTTAGTTGTGGAAGTGCGCCGCAGTTTAAGAGTTTAACCAAAAATTCAGACAGTTTGTGAGTAAAAGAGTTAACTGGATATTATTTAAAACGGTATTTTATCAGAAATAGTACAATTTTGAGTGAGAGTGTCAGATGATAAACACTCTCACATTTGTCTATTTGATATGACGCTAAAGCCAAGAGACGGTTAGCCTAGCTTAGCATAAAGTCTGGGGAAAAAAAAACATTTTTCAACTTAGTTTTTTACTGACTAAACATAAAGTTATATTGTTTTTTTAGATGAGCTTTAGAGGAGCTGCTAGGCTTTTTATTTTAACATTAGACAGAGCTAGGCTAATGTTTCCACCACCGTTTCCAGTCTGTGTGTTAAGCTAAGCTAAGCTAGGCTAAGCTAAGAGTAAGTTTACTTCTAGAAGGGACAATTTTCTTTGGAGGGGGGGGGGGGGGGCATTTTCCTTTATATGAAAGGACAGCTGAAGAGAGAGTTGGGAGGAGATAATGGGGGATGACTTGCTGCAAAGGGCCGAGGTTGGATTCAATCCTCTGTACATGGGACGCACGACATAACCGCTAGGCTCTCCGCTGCCCCAAGAATTGTCATCTTGTCAAGCAACCTGCTCGAATATTAATAAATGTATTTGATGCCACAGCCAGTTACAGTCTACCACTGGTCTCCCACATTTAATCAACTCCATTTATTCAATCTTTAAGACATTTAATTTATTACAAATGGGAAAAAAACAGAAACATTCAGAGGTGATACTTTAAAAAAATGTATTTTTAAAGCCTTAATACTGCTTTGAAATCTCAACCGGACCTTTCTTTCTGACAGAATTTTCTAAAAACAGTATAGGTTTTCCAAATGGAGTCCCTGTCGTACCTCCCACTGTTTCCTGACCGAGTCAGAAAGGCGGCTCACTTCCTGGAGTTGGGACCCCGTGCAAAAGGCCCCAAAACCCTCCACTGCACCCAGGAACTCCTCGAGGACGGCAGGCTGAAGAACTTTTAAAGCTTTCTGAACAAAAAAAGACACAAAGCTGGACAAAGACGGACAAACAAGACTGGCAGCTGTGCAAAGCAAAACACCACAGACCTTTAAAGGACTGATCTGAATTTTGAAGATTGGATTTTTTTATTCTTAAAGTCTGGATGTTGGAACATGAAAAGCAGCTTGGATTTACGCTTTTGAAGCAACATGGTGCCAACAAGCTGGCTTCACATACATTCTGAAATAACTCTTACTTATTAGCTAAAACAGAGTTGATATTTTTGGTGGGTAAATGTAGAAAACAAAATCTGCTTTAGTACTTCTTTTTTTAATCTGGTTTTAAATTCAAACAATGAAAATACCATTGCTGCAAATCCACATACATTGCTCTTCGTTGAAAGACTGGATAAAATATGTGATGTGCTTTTTTGTCACTAAGAAAACATGCACTGGGAATAAGCCTGACCTTTTAATTTGTATTTTTAAAGCATACCTGTTTCCTCTTGGCTTGTGTGTCTGAAATGTCTCTGCCTCCAAATAAGTTGATGGCTTGCTGGATGCGTCCTTGCAGGTGAAACCTGGCCTTCAGCAGTCGGCTCTTTGCCATTGACTGGGCTTTTGAATGAACCTCACTGCGGTCCATGGCTGGTGGAAGAGGAGGTTTTTTCTCTGTCTGTGGAGTCTTCGGTTTGCTTACAGATCTGGATTTTGATTTGTTGGTTTGTAAAGTGTGTGGGCTTTCTTTTTCCTTGGAGACTGTACTTGTTACAAGTTCAGAAAAACTTGGACTTGGAGCCTGATTGAAGGTTTGGGGAAATGACTGAGGCTGAATCATAGGATGGGATTCAGTATCTTTTCTAGTTGGAGTGAGAGGAGAGTGAATTTGTGGTACTGGTTCTCTTAAAGGCTGAGGCAGTATTTGGACTCGGGGTATGACAATGGTCGGTTCATCCTGCATAACAATCTGCTGGAGATCTTTCGCTCTTTGTCGAGGCAACTGAGATGGAAACTCTGCTAGAAACTGATTTGGGATGTGGGTTTGAACGGAAACATTCCCAATCTTGTCCACATGTTTGGTTCTGGCCACAACAATGGCCCCTGGCTCTGGCTGCTTCTGTGTCTGATTGGCTGCTCCAACAGGTCGCTGGAATCCAAGCGAGCTAAACATGCCAAGAATCTCCTGAGAAAAAAAAAAAAAACAAATACAGATGACATTATTCAACATTAAATATGCAACAACTGAAGAACCTGAGGAACGAAACCAAACGTCGCTTGAACTCACCTGGCAGTGGTTAACCGCCTCTGAGATCCTGTCCTGCATGTCAGAGGTGCTGAGGTGCTGCAGAGGAGAGGTTTTCTGTACCTGAGCCACAAGGACCTGCAGATCCTGCCCCTCAGTTACAACCTGGTTTTCCAGCTGCGAGCCTCGAGAGATCAGAGCCTAGAAATGATTATATAACACGCAGTGTGTTATGTCTATTATATTACTTAGTGCGTTTGCAGCTTTCATGTTATGCTGTTTATGTGTTTTGTCCTGTGTTACATGTTATATATGAGTATGAGGTGTTCTGGGATTATTTGTGATGGTTTAAACAAAACATCGATGACTATGGTAATGCCTGATAATTAGAGTGTTCACAAAGTTTTAGCTCGCTGACTTTGGCTGTAGATTGCAGCGCAGGACGTCCTTTGTGTTTTCTCTCCTTTAGTTGTTGGTAGCAGTCCAGGGTCTCGGTGCTCCAGTGGTTCAGTTCTGCCAGACGGCCCTCCAGCCTGGATGCAGCCCTCTGCAGCTCTCCACAGGTCCTCTCTGCTTCAGCAAGCACCTGTCGTACACGTACAAGTCATGTAAAAACCTGCCCTTAGTTTGTCACAGCATTATGAACAGAACTGGTTTAGTTTTAACTGCTAGAAGAAATGAAACCTGTTGAAATGTATAACAGATAGGTTGGGGATTTTTGCATCACCTGTGGGGGTGTGAAGTCTGTGGACGGACTGAGAGAGGAGAGGTCCACCTCAGTCATCTTTTTGCTGATCAGCTGGTCAAGAGAAAACAAAAGAAATAAAATAAGAATTGTTATAGAGTTATGACTGTTTCCATCTTTCCCTTCATGTATCTTTACTAACCTGTAGCTTCTGTTGTTTAGCCTTCAGTGGGACTGAGGACACCTCCAGTGGCTGATTTAGTAGAAAGCTGGCCTCCTGGGTCAGTGAAGGCACCGTTTGAAGACACAGAGGGCCTACACTGGACTCTGAGGATACACCCTGAGAGAAACATGCCATCATGTGAAAATCACATTTTGTTTTGCTCCATAAAAAGTCAAAGAAAAAAAGCCTTGATGGGAAAAAAAAGCTACATCATTTTGAAATGAAGTCTACATTTACTTGAGCTTTACTTTAACGACAGGTTAAGTCTGAAGTGACAGTGGATGGATCAGTGAGAGCAGTGATACTCACAAACTTCGTCCTCTTCACACATCCAGCCCACTGCATGTTGATCTTTCTGAGTTGCTCTGTCAGAGCGAGGCTGGCTGAAGAATCTGTCACTTCGATGAGAAAGTTCCCCGCCTCATTTAACCTGGCCTGACACGATGTCCACTTACTCATATCCTGCAGCAATCAAAACAAGAAATGATAATGGATCTCCACTTCAACGAGGAATTACTTTACGTTGCAACACTGAGAGTCAGAAAAGATTCTTTTTCTGGACAAACAGACTGAGGTACCTGATCATGCATCACGTCTCTCTGCTGTGTCAGCCATGTCTGCAGAGAAGTCATGCAGTCGTTGTAAGTCTCCCACTCAGACGCCACTCTCTCCATCGTCCCTCTCACCGCCGTCACAGCCTGTTGTATCAACTCAGCTTCCCTCTCTGCCTCCTTCACCTGCAGAGTAACAGTCTGGGAATCTCCACCTGGACGGGAGAGAGTGTACAGAGGTCAAATCTTTTGGAAATAAGATTTCCTCACATAAAATATGAAGGTAGGATTCGGTGCTTTAGAGCAAATAATCCCAGGCACATATTCAGCTCGTACTTAACGCTGCCTTGCTTGTGTAAGCATTCGCCTTTTTCTGCAGCTTTTGGAGAGCGTCCATCAGAATCAAAAGCTGTCCTTGGCGGTCCATAGTTTCCTAGAAAACAAATCAACCAAAGTCGTCACTTGTGCAAGTTTCTAAAAAAGCATCAATTATCACACTACTCTTTTATTTTTAACTAAAGCCAATATCATCGATTTGCCGTCCTAAATCCTTTGCAAGAGAGTTTGTTAAAATCCATTTCCACCACAATAATACTGCCAGAATGAGTTTTTTTTTTTTTATTTGATGTCCTGCTCTCAGATACTCACATGCCAGTCCTGCAGAAGCTGGGTCACTGTCTCCTGGGACCTGTAGGGGCTTTCCATGTCTGAACCTCAGCATCAACGCGGCCCAGGAGATCAAGCACAGTGTGACGAGATTCTTGTACTCCAACTTGATCCCTTGATACTTGGCTGTCACTCTGATATTTGTTAAACTGTTCCAAAAAAAAGAAGGTTTTTATGCATCATTTGAATGTTTTAATGGAACCAAAATGCTGGTACTTTTAATATAAGACGTCGATAATAATCAAAACTGAATATCACTGAATATCACTTACCGTCTTTTTACCTCATCAAACTTTTCAAGGGGCACGACTAAGTTCCCGAGACATCCATGTTTTTGAAGGTATCAAGGATATTGACATGATGGCTCATCTCTTTAATCAATGTCTGAAAAACAACATTATAAAATGTTACATTATGACAACTAGTTTCATCTCACAAGTAGACAGATAACACATTTCCAGTTCATATCTATGGCCTAAATCAACAGTCTACAGCTTGTTGAAGCCAATGCATAATGTCTCTGTTGTTTTTAACCTTTAACTTGTCTTGTTGAGTTCTTGCATCTTTAGCAGCATCTGCATGATCTCTCTGTTTTCCTCCGTCTTCTGTTAGCGCTGCCTCTGCACGCTGCAGCCACACAACTGAGTCCAGAGGAGGAGGAAGACTTGAGTCCAGGTCTGCTTTACACCTCTGCAGCTGGACAAGACACACATATACAGAAACCTGGTATGAGTACAGGTTCTGGTCTTTGCAATGTAGCCTAACAAAGTGTTTATTAGTCCGCTGAAGAGGGACGAAGGAAGTGAATTGGACGGAGCTATTCTCCAGACAAAACATAAGTGACTACAACTCTCCATCTGTGGACGTCCTCACCTCCTCTCCATACGATCCGACGCTGTCCTGAGAGTCGCTGCTCCTGGCTCAGCTCAGGGCAGCGCTTTACTGCAGCGAGGAGGGTCATCACTGGTTTCCTCTGCTCAGTGAACGAGTCAGACAGTTTCTGAAGTACCTGATGATCCACATACAGACATATCTTCTTAACACTGTCCAAATGATTCACAGTTGTTGTTTTTTTCTATTCTTAGAGAGCTTGTTCTTTGCCTCACCTGATATTTTTCAGCAAAGCTTGAATGTTCTGTAGCTGTGCGGCTGCCTCTGACAGCTCCTGGTAGGCTTGCCTGCAGCCAGGAGGTCAACTCTAGTGCTCGCTCACTTTGGGGGACCTAAAGGTTCAATATTGAGGTGTATTTATGGGAGTCATAACTTTTGAACTCACGAAAATTGAATTTCGAAAAGCTAGCAAATAAAAGATTTAAAGACAAAAGAGGAGTTGTTACAGCTACCTGGCGTAACGGTGAGACAGCGAATGCAGGAGTAAAGTGAGCAGGCAAGTTGACAGATGGGAGAAGAAGAGGGCTCAACCGAGGAAACAGCTACCCACCAACACCACAACAGAATAAACAGGATCAAAAGAATAAACAGGAAATGTTGGGTAAACAGGAAATGTTGGGTTGAAAGACTGAGCAGGGAAAGAAAGCAGCAGGGCGAAACAGTAGTTTGTTTTAAGAGGACAGATTCAGATTTGACTTCAGCTATGTTGTGATTTCTGCAGTGAAGTTTTCAGAACTGTGACACTGAGAGTGAAGTTCTGGTTTTGGTTGCCTACCTGCAGGTGGTCATCAGGTGAAGGCATGTCATTGGAGTACTGGAGAAACTGGGCCACATAAGTCATAATGGACTTCTCATCAGGGTCTTTAAATCCACATCTGAAGTGCATGT